TGTGAAATAAATAATGGGAGTATATGTTTCAGGGAAGTGGATCTCCTGTTGACCTGTAGCTATCATTCTACATGTAGCTGTACATCAGACTATGCCGAGAGTGAACTTATTAACAACTGCAGGTTCCTAGACCCAACATAAATACAACTGAATTATAAGCTCTAGGAGTAGATTGTTGGCAGCTGTATGTTTCAGTTACTTGTGCTGGTAAACCTGGTCTGCAAAAGGCCCTTCCATAAAGTGTTTGTATAATAGACTGTATTTTTGTGTTTAATAGGAAGTAATTTCAGAATTTCAAAAATGTCAGTCACCTATTCAATGATATCATACTGGTTTTCAACATCTTAAATAATATGTGGCTATATACACAGCATTGAGATTTTAGCTACTCTTTTAGAACATAAAGTTCAAAAATAAATATGTCACTGCCTACACTCCCTCCATGAATTCTTCTTACTTACAAATTTGTTTCCAAAATAGCAAATAAGGACACATGTCAGACCATTCTATTGAAGTGTTCTAAACTCCTCACAGAAACAGCCAAACTCTGCCCTGTTCTCAGATTCTGACATGCGCCTTTCTCCAGTTTTCAGTCCTGTTAGTGCTCGGACAAATTCCCAGCATGGCAATTGAATCTTGCATATCATTCCAGCTTCTTGGGGTAATACCCTATATATAGACTCTGATCAAACCAAGGAGGTCTACTTTCAGTTCCCCAGATTCACCATGTCCTTGCATGCCTTCATCCCATTAACATATTGTTCACTGCTGGACATGCCCTTTTCCCTCATCAGCCTGGCAAGCCCTCACTCATTCTTTAAGCCTCAGCTCAAACATCACTCCATCTGTGGAGTCTTTTTCAATATCCATCGACAGAGTTCAATGCTTTCCTTGATGTGTGCTGCAGGGGGCCCTGTGCCTGTTCCTGTTTCAGTGTTAGCTTATGACTGCAACTGTGAGATCTATCTCCATATCTCACTTGTACCCCCAGGCTTTAGCACACATTTCGGCATGGAGTAGAGGCTCTGTTTAAGTTAATGATGTTAGCTTTCATTCTCCTGTGATCACTGTGGGCCAGACTTTATGCTAAGTGTTTTACAAACATCTTATGCAAAGTTTAGCAAGCAGTAATGATCACCCTCATTTTAAATACGAGACAGTTAACCCCAAGAGATAGCAACATCTTGCCAAGAGTTGCCCAACTAGATGGTGGCTGACCTGGAAGGATTTGAACACTGTGTTTTTCTGACTAAAGATAGTGTTCATAAATGTTCCACCCCAGTGCTTCCCTGCAAGGGCTCAGATTGTATTTGATTGCTAATAGCAAGTTCTCTTTGATAGTTTCTCTCCAAACACCACCCTCTTAGCTGGAACACTGGAGGAAGAAGAGCATTCTTTCAATCATTGGAATGCTCTACAACCCAGTTCTGGCACATGTGTGCAGAGGCATACAGGCATGATCAATGAATGACAACATACACACTGTGATAACTGGAAGACTTAATTTGCAAAAATACCCCTCAAAATCATAAAAATAACCATTGACCACATCAATGAAAAGTCACTAAGAATAAAAAAAGAAGTCCCCTTTAATGAAAACCTTACAAAATTCCCCAAATTGCACGTGATTTTTAATGGGCTACAGCCATTCTTCTGCACTTCTATTTTATTTCTTGAACAAGAGGAAAATATATTATTTATGCAAAAGGGTAGTTAGGATTTCCAACCACTAACACATGGCCTATAAAAAATAATAATCCCATTTTTCTATTGTGCAATAACCCTCTGTTGGGCAATAGCAATGTACAATGTGCTAGTTTCCTGTTACTTTACAAGAGCCTCCCCTTTCACTCACTGCCCAGACTAAATAGTTATCCCTTGGATAATAAAACTATAATACTGAGTTTCAATCTACTTCCAAAAATGTTTCTGCCTGTCTTTAGAAATAATCATATCAGTTTGCTAATACGCAGAAATGCACTGTAAGTTGAGTATGTTGTCACATGTGGCTACAAAACATATAAATCTTTCTGTGACCAAGAGAGAAACAATATATTTCTTATGTGTCTAAAACATTATGTGGGATCACAGCTGTAAGATGTTGGACCATCATCAAGAGAACAATGTCAAACACTGAACTTCTGGATGATTTCCATAAAAATAACATTTTGTTTGAGGTCAGTAGTTTTTATGGAACTTTGGAATGATTTCACTGACAATTTTTTTGGAGTTGAACACCTCCAAAATGCTCCTAAAAATGGAAATATTATATAATGTAACTTTGCAGCCATGTCCTTCTAAAAACCAAGTCCATAACAAGTAAACCAGTACATCTCTTTCACTTTGTGCAGTTTCATAAAAATTATATTACCTTACATCTTCAGTAAAGTTACGCTTCAGTTTTCTCTGTTTAGTTACCAAGTTCAAGTGTGTAGTAATTCAAATGTGTAGCAATTAAAGCCAGTGTGAGAAAAAAAAAAATAAAAACTCCACCCTGGATTCCTTCCATAGAAATCTCACCATCTTTTCAGTGAAAAGTTCAGGGTCAGGGCCTCCATCAGTGTACAGCTGGTTCAACCTATATATGCAAAATAATTTGATTTACACTGGCTTTATATTCTTCTGAATTCTTACTTTTGCTAACTGTCCTTTTATTTTTGTTGTTGTTGATGTGACATTGGTTTATAGCACAGTACATGATGTAGGGTTACAGTTTGCACCTCTTCAGATGTCACATCCCACCCCGTCACCTGGACACCCAGTGCCTCTACCATAGTCCCCTGGGTCTTCTCTCCCTGCTACACCCCAGAATCCACACTTCCCCTCAGTAGCCTCAATTCTACAATCAGAATGACCATAGGAGAGAGAAGTAGTGAATAATTTCACAAGCACATGGAATATAGAGAAGAAAATGAACCAAACTGAACCTTAGACATACAACAAGTTGTCAGTTGAGAATCTAGATTTTAGAGATGCATTCTATTAAGCCTCCTTACAAGGCAAATTTTAATAAAGTAGCTGAAAGATTTTGTAAATATAGTCTCAGGCAAAGAGACTATGTTAGTGATATCGCTAATCCAAGGAGACTGTATTGGCTGAGGATACCTATGCAGTACTAATAATATTGTTCACTAGGATTCTGTAACTCGATCTCAAGAAAAGGAAAGCCAAACCACTGAGTTCAATATTTGCAGCCTATTTCAGGATATGAAAATATTTTGATTTTCTATTATACATTTGTCCAAGCTGACTTTTTGTAGACAGAGACTAATCTCAAATTTTACATGACTCAGTATGTGGAGACAGGTATTATCAGCATTTGCTGCTCCTCAAATTAGTTCCTAGCTGTCATGTACTATGACATGGATTTAAATTAGTATTTTCCCATTGGATATGTATTACTGGATGCTAATGGAGCTATGTGCTTAGAAGCTATTTTACACTATAGAATGTATATATAAAGTGTTTAGATGGTAATGAAACATCTAGTTAATTGATTACTTTGAAATAAATAAAAATCATCCACCCAACATTGCCCCAATTCCTGTACTTCGAATTATTTCTTCCTCTAAAACTCTCAGCAGTTTTCTGGTACCTACAAAATGAAATGCAGTTCTCTCTCTCAGCTCCAGTCTACCTTTCTACATTGAAATCTTTAAAGTTGTGCTGGTTTTGGCCTGCCTGGTGGCCTAGGGGTTGAGTTTCAGTGCCATCACCATGACGGCCTGACTTCGATCCCCAGTCAGGAAACTAACTCACATGTAGAACAGCAGACCTCTCATGTCTTGCCTACTGCTCCCCTCAGTAGTGTATTTCAGTAAATCTGCTTCTTCTGCTCCCCACTCTGTTTCTGGTGAATCCTCTTGCCCCCTGCACCTCTGGCCGACACCCCTGTTCTCCTGTGAAAAATAAATAAATAAAGTTGGAGGCTTTCCCTGGTGGTGCAAAGGGTTAAAGCACAGCACTATGAAGCTCTCTGAAGCCACTGCAGCAAGAGTCTGATCCCCAGCCAGGGAGCTGACCCACATGATGTGGCAGACGGCTTCTGACCTGCCCACTGCTTTCCTCAGCAGTACATTTTAGTTGATCTGCCTGTTCTGCTCCCCACTCTGTCTCTAGTGAATCCTCTCTCTGCCCCCCCAACACCTGGCCTGTACCCCAGTTCTGTAAGCATAAATAAATAAATCTTTAAAAAATAATAGATAAGGTTGTGTTGGTTCCACTTTTTAAAATGCATTATAGGGTGAATCTGAATTAAAATCTATTTCAAAATCATTTCAATTCCTTCATGAAATACTTATATTCAGTGAATATCTGTTTATTTGATTGATAGAGACAAAGTTCCTGCTCGTGGTATAGGGTTATTGGTAACTTCTAGTTACTGTCATACTTGAATGTAGAAAATTTGCAATGGAAAGTAATTTCAACCTTTAAATATTTGTGATAAAGTACAGTGAGCCTGATATTCCTCAAGCACCATTATTTGCATATTATTATATAAATTAGCCATCTTATAATAGATGATATACTAATATATTTACAGGTTACAAATATGTGACTGCTAGATGGAAAATATGAATATAAAATGTCACCTTAGGTAGAGTCATATAACACATACACATTAACAAATGTCCTATGTCAAAACATCCCAAAAAAAAATGAAATATCTGTAGTATCTATCATGTAAAACTATTACCGAAATTATAACTATAGCACCTAACAGAGCTCAGAACTATTGCTTCATTATATGTTGTTTGTATTTCATGTTTACATTGTTTGAAGTATAATACAGACTTAATAAAAGTCATTGTTTGTATTTCATGTTTACATTGTTTGAAGTATAATACAGACTTAATAAAAGTCATTGGATGAATGACTTATTTCTTATTAAAGGGTATGGTGTGAAACCTAAGAGAAATTTAATTCATTTTTTAAAACTTCAAATAATCAAATGTAATGTGACTGAATTTATGTTTTAAAGGTGTATCCTTTCATTTCAGGGAAAAAAGGAAGGGAAAAGAAAAGAAAAAAACTTAATAAAGAAGAAAGTAAGGATGCTATACCTGATAACAAGGGTTTGGAACCCAGCAGAGAAACTCCAGAACAACGAGAAAACAAAGACAAACAGCAGCAGAAGAAGCGGAAGGTTCAAGATAAGCAACAGAAATCGGTATCAGTCAGCACTGTACACTAGAGGGTCCCGTGGGATTTTGTAGACTCATGATGCTGCTATCTCAACCAGATGCCCAGGACAGGTGCTCTAGCCATTAGGACCAGAAATGGACAACATGTCAGCTATTGCTCAGTCCAAACAACATTCCAAATAGTTGCTATAATCTTCATACAAGCATAGTTAACAACAAAGAACCAAACATTCAAAGAAGGGATGCTTTCGAATGGTTATCGTATGTGCTTCTGTGCATTTTTAAAAGACAAGAAATTTTGTACATAATTACCAGTAGGCTATAAGATGTAACAACATAATGATAACATCTAGAGAAGCAACATCTCTTCCCTCTGAAACATTTTTTTCAAGCTATTTTTTAAGGAGCAAAAGATAACTCTGTCATTTAAAGATTCAGTATCCCTTCAAAACAAATAAGACATCAGGGGAGAGAAACATCTTTCAAAGGATGGTGTTGTTTTGCCTGGGAGATCTAGAGAGTGCTCAGACATTAGGGCCTGGCATTTGGAATCATAGGAATGATCATCACAGAAACAACGGTTTTAAGATCGGTTCTGTTGCCCTCATCCTGTCCTCCCCAAGAAGCATGAGCGTGCACACCAGAGTTAAACATACTGTATGGGATTGGAGAAAGGCAAAAAGTGGAAGAAACCATAGAGTGGGAGATGATTTTTGTGCTTTACAAAGCTGTGAAGGGTTGTGATTACCTGGAACACGTCTCCAGTCTATGTCAGCACTGTGTGGTTCAGCCTCTGCTACCCCTTGGGTTATATAAATCTGTAAACATGTACCTGTAACGTACTTCCAAAAAAATCATACTTATTAGAAGAAAATTCTGATTTCATAGAAAACAAAAACTAGAGCAAAGTGATATAACATGTTTGCGTGTTTTCTTTTGCAAGGAGGGAAGAACAATTTTATTACCTGCTTTTGGTCCACCTGGAACTAAAAGGGACACTACTTTCTAACAAGGTGTATCTAGTAGGGGAAAGCCACCACAATAAATATATTTGTTGATAGTTTTTAAAGTTTTGTTCATTTCATTTCATTGTTTTATTGGAAGATTGTTGTTCTTAGAAATTCATGAATTTCAACATGGAATATTATATGCTCTTATAACTCAGAATTTGTATTTCTCAGTGTTTGCTTTCCAAACCCATCCTTCTCTAAACTAATTCAGATTTACTGAAGGGTGGTAGGAGATGTTTATTCACCTTTTTTTCTTATTTTAATCTCTAAACTTCTAGTAATAGATGATTGGGCATCCCTAAAGATTTCACTGCTCCCTCTTCTTTGCTTAGAAGTTAGCTTATCTTTTCTTGTATGTCGATTCCACCTGCATCTTGAACATGTGGCCTTTTCTTCTCCATATTTTCTCAGTCTATGGAGCTCTTTGGGGGAGTGAAGTCACGCTAGCTGAAGGCCTCGCCAGTGTTGCACAGAGGACACAGCCAGCCCAGGGCAGAAGACACCTGTGAGCTTGCAGCACAGAATCTCATAACCCACCTTAACCTTCCTGTTGTGCTGGAAGGATGCAAAGCTACTTTATCCCCCACTCTCCCTAGTCCTCTAAAGATCACTGCTTTCTGAAGAATTCTTAATGAATCTGGCTTCTGACTACTTATCTCTGGACATCCTTTCTCCACCAACTGTACTGCTCTTGCAGAATACTTAGCTTACCGGTTTTCCACTTCTATTTTCCCCTTCCAAACAAGATATAAAAATTTTGAATGATGTATTCTTGTTTCCTACTTTGGTGTTTTTTTTTTTCCTCCTCGTTTGTATGAGATAAGTGTTTCAAATAACTAGTCCTCTTCCTAATGTATAAAAATAATTCTATATTCAACTACATCTTTGTCATCAAGGCGATGTAAACCTTTTCCTATGTAGGTGGAAGGCTAGTCTTGTGCTCTAGAAATTTATAATGATTTCAAACACCATTTCCCCCTCAATCTTATCTACAGGAGCATAATCAACACATTATTTTTTTGTATGTTTAGCATGTCTTCATTCTTTCAACAAGTTATTACTGGGCAGGTCTATGCCTACATATACAATGGAGGTGGGGGAAAGAGTTAAATAAAATAGGACACAATTATAGCAAATGACTAGCATCACTTCCCATATATTTTAACTCAGGATTTTTTACCTTGGAGGTACTGCAGACAGTACGTCTAAATCCATGATGCAGTACTTAAATGAATGTAGAGTCATTTCAAGGGAAACAAATTAAAGCTAGGTATACTAGCTTTAATTCATGCATTAGGTGAAATATGGATGAAGACAAAGATAATACCAATTTTAAATGCAATTCTTAATCCACCTGTAATAAATCTTTAGAGACATAGAATCATTACTCAAGTAAGCAGTCTTCTCAACTTTGAGCACAAGCTACATAATGCAGGATACTGCCAAAGAGCAAGATCCTGGCCTTTTTATTGGCAGACTAATCATACAGCATTAATCATATGAGGAAGTAAATAAAGGGAGAATTAGAAGAAGCTGGGCAAAAGGTGGAACTGTGCATCTGCTGATAGTTTGATATGCAGAACAGTCCTGACTCCCCAGTCAACATTTCAATCTTATCAATAAGGCATTCCATTGATCAGCCTCTGGGGTCCTTCAATATACATCAGTCAATGGTCCCCCTGGGCGTCCCTAGTCATACCTCATGATGCATACCCTGTCCAGGGTGGTCTAGCTTTATGCTCTTAATTGATGTGAAAGGTGCCTCATAGGGTTGGGCTCTTAAAATGAAGGCTGGATAAGCCACCTAGGGTTAGCAGACCCACAAGGGATCTGGGAAAATGAAGGCAAGAAAGATTTCTTTTTTAGGAAAGAGGGTGTTATTTTTTTGTAATGCCCAGAGTAAGTTTTCTGCAGGCTAATGTAAGTTGAAAGAAGAGTAAATAAAATGAGTGAAAATATCAGTTGGGACTTTATCTATTGCAACCAATGACACTTTAGGCCATTAACTTAGTAAAATGTGTTACCATTCTTAATATATTTCTAAACTTATTAGAAATATAAATAAAACAAAAAATTCTCCATACCTCCTTTATGGTGCCCATTTACCCTATGACTGTTATGTAATTATGCCAAAAGCTCTTTGAGGGTGTTAAATAGATTTTGTTATTGAGATTCATTGTTTTAAAAAATGAAGAATTGAAGCACAAAGAAGTGCCCCAAGTCACACCACTGGAAACCAGGGAATCTGGAAGTCACTGCCAACACTGGCTAACTCTAAAGCCTACCATCTTCTCCACACATCATCTTATTTAGCATCATATTCATTATTAGTTCCAAGAATGTCTGTGTTCACATTTTCCCTGATCTGAACCAATACCTCATGAAAAAGAAACTTGAAAAGTCAGATCTCTGAACCATCAACCCAAGATAAGACTCAACTCTGACCTGATTTCATTTGTGACTAAGTATATGGGTGTGTGTGAGAGAGAGAGAGAGCAAGAGAGAGGGAAAGAGCTTATCAGCTGTAAGGTTGGTCAGTGGATGTGAAGAGGCAAGAAAGAGTGTTTGGAGGTAAAAGAAGAAATGAGTGTTAAGTGCCATCAGCAAAGCAAAACAAAAACCAACCCAAAGAAGATTGGGCAGATATGGAAGAGCAATAAAACCCTTGGGAAAGTACTAGATCACTATGTTCTTTAATAACTGTGAACTCTGAACTCAGTCTCTCAGTGTACGTAGTATATTTTCCAACACTCTCATCTTCTCTGTGAGACTTTATTCAGAATTGCAGTGAAAGAAGATAAAACACCAACAGACCCTTCTTACCATTAGGCTTCTAAACCAATGTTTTTTACATAATGCTGAGTTTCTCAATGTCTCAATATCTTCAGACTTTCAAAATTAATATTTTTGTCATGCACCCTTTCTTGCCCCTCCTGTCTTTCAGATAATTCAGAGAGCAATGTTTCCATCATATAGACAGACTGAGGGAAAAAAGAAAGAGGAAGGTAGGGAAGGAAAGAGGGAGGGGGGAAGGAGGAAGGAAACATTAGTATTTAACATTTTACAGGGATGGAGAGGGGAATAGGATGAAAACTGGGGTGGGAAGAGCACACAGAATATGGTGATGGCACATAGGTGGATTGGTGGTGGGAAGTCCACGGGGATTACAACTGAGATGAAAAAATGCACAAAATGAAGAATGCAGTAAAAAATAAAAATAAATTTTAAAAATATTTTAGCTATTTAATATACTTTTTGAAGCAATTACAAATGGAGTTATTTTGCTAATTTCTTTTGCTATTCTTTTTCTACAAAACGGCTGAGTTTTTGTATTGATTTTGTATCCTGTCACTATGTTATATTCATCTGTTGATTCTAATAATAATAATAGTTCTAACAGTAAAACTTGAGTATTTTATTCATACTCACTAAACTAAACTTCAAAAAAACTTTAACCAGAGGCATATTCTATTGACAGGAAAATAGAAAATGTGCTGATTTAAGAACTTATTTTTTTTTAATGAAATATCATTGTCTTACATCTTTGTTAATATTTTGACAACATATTATTTCTCCCTTCAGATGTGGTCATTATAACTCTCTCACCACCAAAACACCTCTAGTCCTCCATTACAGTTCCTTATGCTTCCATTTCCACCCCTCCCCCCAAGTTTTTCTGTTAGATATTAGTATTATTAGAACCAATAGATGAATATAGTATAGTGATAGGATATAAAATCAGTGCAAAAACAGCCATTTTGTATGAAAAAAGCAAATAGCAAAAGAAATTAACAAAATAACTCCATTTATCATTGCCTCCAAAACTATATTTAATAGCTTGGAATTAAACCTAACTACAGAGGTGAAAGTTCTATATAACAACAACTACAAGATCTTGTTAAAGGACTTAGGGACATGAGGAGAAGGAAGGAAAGTTCATGGGTGGGGTGAATTAATATAAATAGAATAACTACTTAAAGTGATATACAAAATTAATATAATATCCACTAAATTTCCAGTGATATTTTTCAATGAAATTAAACAGAAACATTTTTAAATTTACATAGAACTATGAAAGGACTTGCTCTACAAAAGCAATCCTGAGCAAAAACAAAAAGAAAACAAAAAATGGAGACAGGTATCTCCTTACTTGATTTTGAACTTGATATAAAGCAACAATATTAAAAACAATATGGTATTAGCACAAAAATAGATACATGAGTCAATGGGATAGTATTGAAAGCTCAGAAATAAAACCACATACATACCAGGGGCTATGAATTTAAGGGGGATTTATTAATTTAATAAGTGGTGCTTAGGAAAATTGCAATGCCAATGTAAATAAGTAAAATTGGATCACTTGCTCACCCTCATGTATAAAATAAATTCTAAATGGATTAAAGATTTTGATAAAATACCTGTAACAATAGCATATGTAGAGGAAACGTTAATGGTACATTCTATGACATCAACTACATATATATATATATTACTTAACCCTTATGGCATGTGAAATAAACCAAAATAAACACTTAGGATTAGCTCAAATTAAAAACTTTAACATGGCAAAAGAAAATACAAGATGATTAGCAATATACCCTATTGAATGGGACAAAATATTCACAAAATTATATAATTGATAAGGGATTAATGTCTCAGACATTCACAAAACTCACAACTCATCACTTCCAATAAAATAGGTGCAAGTTAAAATCACAATGAGATATCATCTCACTCCCAATGAGAACAGCACCGATTTACAAAATCTCCAACCAGTGTTGGAGAGGATGTAGAAAAAGAGGAGCCCTACTATACTGTGGGTGGAAATGTAAACTGGTCACTGCGGGACAAAATGTAAAACTGAGAAGATTGTATGACCCAACCATACCACCCTTGGACATTCACCCACACAATATGAAACCATCAATGTGGAGGAAAAATGTGTCCTCCTGAGTATTTCCAAAATGCAGGCCATTCAGCAACATCTCAGCCAACCATCTGGCCATGCCAATCACAATTTTTAAAAGAAAAACAGAAAAAAAATCCTCATCTCTCC